GGATGGTGAAAATGATGTTATACCACCACTGTGAGGTTATAATTTACAAATACAAGAACTAAAAGTAATCTTTTCTTTAACAGCTTATGTATAAATTCACCATATCTGTGGCCCCCCCCCCCCCCCCCCCTTTGTTGTTTCAAGAAAGCTATTAAACTTTCTTTCTTATGCTCATAACAGAAACAAAGAGAAAACAACAAGCACCAACCACACGAACAAAAGCAACAAGAGGCCCTCCATACAACCAGTAAGAAAGCAAAGCCAAACATAGGCCCGCTGTTTTGCTTACTGTACATCCATGTGCGGCCATGGCGGGGAAAATAGATCGCTGATATTACGAGACTCACATAAAGACCCTCACCTCTGCCTCAACACTTCACGAAGACTGTTGAGAGCTAATGCCCACTACGCCACGACGAGTTTTCCTCCTTATGGGGCAAACTAAGTTAGTCTCAACTTTCCCAAAAATGCGGCGCTTTGACCGCTCGCTGCACCACAGAGGGTGATAAATTCTCTTAGCAAAGGCGTTTGTAAAAGAAAATATTAGTTTAATTAAAGTTTTGTAATAAAGGGATGCATATGATTTGGTTAGACCCTAGAAGGTTCGTGATTAGGCTCTTATGCAATCTAATCCGATTTTTATCACTTAAAACTAATTAACAAGTTTATGCTAGCAAGTATAAAATACAACAAGATATGTGCCAAGGATAAGTGATATACACAAGGCGAAACAAAATAAATAAGATAGTGGATGCATATAAATAATGAGCAATGCGACAATGCAACATGAATATAAACATTAGAGAGTGCCGGCCAAAGCAAACTCAAACACACGATATGCAGTCAGAGTTAGACCTTTCGTCCACGTCTCGCTCTCCACTCCTGGGAAAGAAAATCATTATCACAGACGCAGGTTCTACGTATACTGGGAGACGTATATACCTCACAATGTCGGTTTTCAACGCTCACCGATCAACGTTCACAAACACTCACAATGTCGGTTTTCAACGTTCACCGATCAATGTCTACACTCCACACCTCACAATAACAACAAATGATTTGTTCTCTAATACAAGGCGAGAACTCAATTAAAGCTCACACTCAATTGTTATAACTCTCACCAACCCAAATATACTATGTATGAAAATACAATAAGCTCAAGTAGGTGTGTGTAAACAATGAGTGAAATCAAATCAAATCAAACTAAACTCAAATATAAATACTAGCTTAATAGAATGATAATCAAACAATACAAAATATAAATCTAGGTAGAGTTTAGAAAACTTCTCCAATAAATGACAAGAGAGAGAGAGAGAGAGAGAGAGATGGATTGAAGCTCAAATATCAATGAATTGATCTCCACTTCCTCTTGTGGAATTCTTCAAAAACCAAACCCTTAAACAAACTTAAACCAAACTTAAACTCTTTTAAAACTTCTTTAAAACATTCTCTTGGTTATCCATGAAAGATGAGAGCAAAGGGGTATATATAGCCTTCCAAAATCTCAGCCAAAAACCCAACAGAAAAGACCAAAAAGCCCCCTGAAAAACAGCTCAAGAAATAGCCGTTGGAGTCCAACGATCAAATCGGCGGTCGACTGTGGAAAACTCGCGGTCGACCGCGAGCAACAAAAAGGAC